AGCCAGGGCTTTCTGGCGCTCGTGGATCTTCTCGTGGCGCAGGAGGTGAGTCTTGCGGGTGAAGCATTTCTTGCAGGTGGCGCAGCAGTAGGGCCTGTCCGCCACGTGGGTCTGCAGGTGCCGCTGAAGGGAAAAGGTACAAGAGAAAATCTTTTTGCAAAGGCTGCATTTCTGCGCAGGCTTCCTACGAGACCTGGGGCTCTGCTGTCGGGAGAAGCACGCGCCAGACAGGTTCCCTCTGTCCAGCTCCTCCCGGGCCGGGCCCAGCCAGGGCCCCCCGGCGTAGGTCCCGCTGCCCAGGCTGTGGGCGTCTCCGCAGAAAACCCCGCAGAACTTCCTCCTCGGCCGGATCCTCAGCTCCGGGTGGACGTTCCCCCAGACCTTGGCCCCGAAGGCCCTGTCCTTGACGTGGATGCTCTGGTGAAGGTCCAGGTGGCGTTTGTCGGCGAAGCTGATCTCGCACGTCGTGCACTCGTAGGGCCCCTCTTTGGCGTGGCTCCGCTGGTGGATGATGAGGTTGATTTTCAGACGGAAACGCTTCCCGCACTCGGTGCAGGGGTGCGACCACTCACGCACATAGCCGCGCCGGCAGTTGCCCATCAGCAGTCTGCTGCTCGTGCACCGGCTCGGCTTCTTCTTGCTCTTGGCCTTGGCCTGCTCGGTTTTGGAGCAATTCTCGATGTCTGGGCCGGGAGAGGGCGCAGAAACCTCTTGCAACGCCTTGGGTTCCTCTTCCTTCACCTTGACATTCTGAGGAGAAGCCCCTTCGCGCGCCATTTCACTTCCCAGCGAAGAGCTTTCCTCTGAAAGGGAACAACACAGGCACTGGTCACCAACTGGGCGGCAGCCGCACCCAAGGGCTGGTGGTGAACGGCTCTTTTCCAAACTGGCAACCCGTCACGAGTGGGGTCCCCCAGGGATCGACACCAACGCTATTCAGTGTCTTCATAAGCGATCTGGGTAACGGGATCGAGCGCAGCCTGATGAAGTTTGCGGACGACACCAAACTGAGTGGGGACGTGGACACCCTGGAAGGGATCCCCCCCCGCAGGAAGATCTAGAGAGGCTGGAAGAGTGGGCTAACAAGAACCTAATAAAGTTCAACACTGGCAAGTGTAAGCTCTGGCACCTGGGAAAACACAATCCAGGAGTGTGGCACAGGCTGGGATCCACCCGGCTGGAGAGCAGCTCTGTGGGAAGGGACCTGGGGCCGAAAAGCTCCATAGGAGAGAGCAGAGCACTGCTGCGGCCAAGAAGGCCAACAGGGTGCAGGGGGGCATCACCAAGGGCATCACCAGCAGAGGTAAAGGAGTCATCATCCCACTCTGCTCAGCGCTGGCCAGGCCACACCTGGAATCCTGGGTCCAGTTCTGGTCCCCGTTGGACAAAAAAAGCTTTGGGCAGGCTGGAGGGATCCAGAGCAGGGCCACTGAGGGGATCCAAGGGCTGGGAAGCCTCTCTCAGCCGTACGGGGGTGGGCTGGACTCCGTTTGGACAAGGAGTCCCATGGAGAGGATAAGGGGGAATGGGCACAAGTTGCTCTTGGGGAGATTCTGACTGGACACGAGAAGGAAATTTTTCCCCATGAGAACAGTCACCCACTGGAATAATCTCCCCAGGGGAGGGGTTGACTCCGCCACATTGGGCACTGTCAAGCCTCAGCTGGGCAGGGTGCTGGGCCATCTCATCTGGACTGGGCTCTTGCCCGGAAAGGTTGGACCAGATGAGCCTGGAGGTCCCATCCAACCTGGGATTCTATGGTTCTATGATTCACTCACGCTCTCAGGACAAACCCGGGTTGTGGCCAAGTCCCAAAGCACCGAGCAGGCTTTTAGCAATAAAGGAGCAACCAACACACCGAGAACGTGCTTTGGAATGGTGCCAGCGCCACCGCGGTGTCCTGCCTGCACACCCCGAGTGGCCCAGCCTGGTCTCAGGGGTCAGATCTCTTCCCCCCAGGAAGAACCAGGCCGCGGCGCCATCGGGGCCGGTGGCACAAAGGGATCCCACCTCTAAAACCCCAACACCAGCGATGGCCGCAAGACGTAGCAGGAGAAAAAGGTCACCGAAGAGCAACCACCTGGAGTACGCCAGGCTCTGCCACGCTTGGGTCTGCAAGCCAACGCCGAACGCAGGCCGACCGGCCCCCAGGGGGGCTGCACAGCGACGAGAGTCATGGTGAATTCTCCACGCACACCCCCCCAGCCAGGCCACCCAGCCGGCGTGAGCCATGCCCAGACCCCGTGCCGTTTAACTCCGCACGCCAGCGCCAGGACAGGCTCCGAGTCCCCAGCAGAGGGAAGTGCTCTGCACGTCTGCTCGGCAAAGCTGCAGGACCAGAACAGAGGGTGGGTGCCTGCACGGGGCCGCCCCCACTTCCGACACCCCCTGCTCCCCACCCTGCTCCCGGCACAGAGAAGAGGGCTGTGCCACGGGCAGCGTTAGGCCACCTGAGCTCAAGGCCGGCTCTACCGTTACGCCGCAGAGCTGGAGGAAGGAAGCGCGCTACAGCTGCCAGCTCCCCCCCAATTCCTGACAAAGGGACCCCCACCTGGGGTGCTGGGCTCCCCGCAGGGGTGACAGGGCTGAGACGCCCAACAGCAGAGGCCTCCCTTGCCCCGTGATAAAAAAAACAGGTCTGGAGCTTTCTTCTCCCTCCCCGTGTCAAGGATGTTGGCGAGCTGGGGGCTGTTTCCTGCCTGCAGGGCTCCGCGTCTCCCCGGCACCGGGTTACTCACTGGTGCTGGACTCAGCTGGGTCCTCCTCCATCCCTGCCTCATCTTCCCGGCGCAGCTCCGCTTTTTGGGCACTCAGGGACATGACGTTCATCAACAGGATGGGCAGTTCTGTTTCCAGAAGAGAGCAACTTTAAACACCTGTGGAGAGCTCACATCTTCCCACTGCGGCGCGATGCCAACCGGAGGCGTGCTGGGAGCGCGCAGAAGAGCCAGGGAAAGCTGCGGCTGCAGGGCAGGGACCGTGCCCCTGTGCTGGGCA